ATTCAACAACATAGGAAACATCCCCCCCAGCTCTCATTGCTATTCTGTAACGTGTATTATACAGTTGTTCCCATCCACTACTGTTCTAAGAAATAAGGAGAAGGAACTAGCAGAAAGGAACTATTACTGTCTCTTCTATCTTAAGTTAAGAGACAGCCAGCACTGGAAGTTAGTACCACACATTACAATGTTTAAAACGCAGTGCTAGATCTCGAGCCTGGTATATAAATAATATGGACAACTGGAGAAGCTAGCACAGAGCTAAATTTTGTACCTTTTCCTCAAGTGAAAACAAAGGCAAACCAACTTTCTCAGTTATCCCTCATTTTAATATTAGTTCTCCACCCAAAATTGTTCCCATACCAGTTGCATATTGAAAATCTAGACATTTTTGACTGCACTCATTTTAAAAGAAAAAAATGAAATAAAGTGTGAGAAATATTTAAAAGCTTCAGTTACTTTTTAAAAACACATAGAGACATACAAGCTGGAAAAGAACAAGAGTAGCATGTCAACTAATTGCATCCCCAAGGGTAGATATGAATTAAAAGAGCATTTACCATCCGGTATTGCTGAATTTAATTCAGAGACACTGTAAGATGCTAAAGGTGCCACTCTCGCTGAATGTTTCTTCATCCTTTAAAATTGTTCGCGTAAGCCGTGCACTCACTTCGTCTTTAGCCTCTGCATTGCTTTTGCTCCCCAGTTCAATAGTAAGCACTCGGCTATGGCTGGAATGTAGCGTTCTGGAGATGCTGCAGCAGGCTATGAGTACTGATTTGCTGTTTCCCTGGGAAACCATTTGCAACACATTCAAACAATGCTTGACCTCTGCTAACACTTTTATTTTGTTCCATTGTTAAGCGCAGCAGTTAAAATATAAATATATTAGCTAATGCTCTTTTCAACTTTAAAGTGCTGTAACCCCTTTTGGATTAAAGCCATAGTTTCACATATAATCTCTTCTCTCTGTTCAGGCATCAGACAGGAGCTTTCTCGGTAACAATTGCAAGGGAGTTCTGCAGTACACGTTTCTGATCCTCTTATTGAGACAATATCTTATAATTAAATTAATTGTGTTTAATAAGCGTTGAATAATGTGTCTCCTAAAGGACACTAAAATCACAGCAGCCCAGGACAACAGAACATATAGTATCTATCTATCCATCTGCTAGCTAACCTTTATACTGTAGGCATCTTTCTAGTATTTTAGGGCTTTACAAAAAATCATTAGTCTCAATATAGATAGATAGTCCATACTTGGTCTACATTCTTCCATGCTTCCCCTGAGGCAGCTCCTATACCTCCTCCTGTTTTTCAGTGTGCTTTGTATTGTAGCTGTGGAAAAGTTTAGTCTTTCTACATATGAAGGGACAGTAGTGTCCCTTCATATCTTACCAACTTTCTTAGGCCAGATCTACACTGAAGGAGAAGGTTGAATTAAGATACGCAATACAGTAGTGTCCCTTCATATCTTGCCAACTTTCTTAGGCCAGATCTACACTAAAGGAGAAGGTTGAATTAAGATACGCAACTGCAGCTATGTTAATTACATAGCTGGAGTCGACTTACTTTAATTCGAGTTTCCCTGCCATCCCCATAGCGGGAGGTCAACAGGATCAAAGGCTCCTATGGGCTTCTCTTACTCCTTGCAGGAACACCAGTGGCCAATAGGGGCACCTCTGAGTTTGATTTAGCTTTACTAGACCTGCTAAATCAAACTCTGGAAGATTGATCTGGAAACCACTGATCTTCCCCATAGTAAAGACATGGCCATAGATAACAGAGTGGCTGGCTCTGCCATCTTTGGTATCATAAGCTTTCATGGGCACAGCCATCTACCATGTTTTGTTAGTCTTTAAGGTGCTGCTAGGCTATTTGTTGTTTTTTAAGTTTTTCCAGTTACACACCAACTTGGCTACCTCTCTGAAGCTTCTGCCATCTTTGCTCATTTGAACAGTACCACAGAACTCCATGGGGCTACTTGGCTCAGTCAAGTACTATTTAACATCTGCCTAGATTTATGCTGTGCCCATCACCGTGGTTTCAAGGGTGCCTTGGCAGGGGTGCCAGAATCCGGCTCTAAACAAATATTTGCAAGTGGGTATCACCAGTATTTTTAATAGATTCAGAAATTCTATGTCCCTGATCTAACTGCCTGCATAAGACAAGCCTGAGAACAGCCCCAAAATAAATTCCTGTTTGAACTAGACTGCATCTTTACAAAGACATATTTTAAAGTATTCAAGATACTTCCTGTCACAACCATAGCAGCATGCAAAGGAATGCTGCAGGCAGGCAAGTTACTCTGCTGACCTGTCTTGGGTAAAGTTGGAAATATTCTAAGGGCCACCACTAATCACACCCCCATGCACGTGTGGCTTTGGTAACAGCCTAACACAGCAAAGCTGGAAATAGTCTAAGGGCCACCACTAATCACAGCCCCATGCACGTGTGGCTTTGGTAACAGCCTAACACAGGAGCTCTCGACCGAGGGTTTACAACCTACAGTAGGTCACAACCACCTTACTTTTACTACCTACACAGGAGGAGGGCCCAGGACTGTCAAGGAATGAAAGAGTTCAGAATCACTGACCTAGCCGGTCACATTTTAAGCTTCCTAGGGAAGGCAGCTTCTCAGAATCACCAAGCTGATTTGGGCACTTGACAAGTTACTCAGTCCAGGTGTAAAATGGCTAGCCTGGTTCTGCCCCCACTTCCTCATGCACTTCCCCCACACTCAATGGGTGCTGCAGAGGAGCAGCCAGGGACAGGAGTGGGTGCAGGGTACCCGACCACCCCACGGGGTTCTTGGCCAGCTCTAGGTGAGGTAAGAGCACCGAGGCGAGTTCCAACCTGGACTCTGGAGCATGGTGGAAGAGGGCCCTAGGGTCCTTCTCCCCAGTCCACTCTTGAGTTCCCCTGGTCAAATGCAGTGGGCTTGGGGTGGAGGGCAAGAATTGTTCCCTCTATGCATCACTGCTAAGGAGGAGCTGGAATGAGCAGAGGGCAGACACAGCAGCATGACCAGAGAGTGAGCTCTGCACCCGGCACAGAGAGGGCTGAACACACCTGGGGAACCACGCTACCCCGTCCTAATGAGTTTCACATTTCTGCTTGGAAGGGGGCTGATGTGAAAGACTATTTTAAAAAGAGACATTCCTGAAAGTATTTGAGACCCTCGTGGCTGGATGAAACCTGGCCCAGTCTCTGCCTTTCCCTTTCTATTCTCCACAGCTGAACACCCTACACTTCCCTGCTTGTATGGGGTCTGGCCCCACTCCCAGAACCAGTTCTACTGGAGTACTTGCTAGGGGCATCATATCTCCAGAACCCTTCTGTCTCCAACATGCACAACCTGGCCTCCACTGTGTTCACATCTTTTCCGCAACTATTTACACTGCAGCATCCTATGTGAAGATGCTCACTTCTTAACGATTGCCTGTAGCTAATGGATTTTCAGTGCTGTGTGGAAACCAGTGTTCTGAAGTTAAAATTTACAGTAGATTCCCCCCCCCACCCCCAAAAGTCCAAAGAGACAGCAGCCTTCATGATGGACTAATCGCATTTCAAAAATACAGCCTGTTATGCAAACATTTAACCATCCACTAATAAACTTCTAGTCATTCTATATTTGCATAATATAAATACAGCATGGAGATTGGTTTAGGAAAACAGTTTCTGCAAACAGGAGTTTATAATGGAATCATTAACAAGCCTTAGCTATAGCAACACTGCCTGAGGTTCGTGTGACAAGCATACTGCTATTTCAAGCATTTCAAGCCATCGCTTCCAAACAAGAGCAATATATTAACACCCGATAGTGGCCAATGATACAAGCCCTTGCAAATGAAATTGAGGAAAATCAGCTGTAAGTCAATTTACCAAACTCAAGAGCCATATTCCAAACCATAAGGAATCCTTCTAAATGTGCATGACAGTAGATTTTGCTTTGGATAACAATGAAATAGAATAAAACAACAGGGCAAAACTGCTACAGAAATGAACACTTCTACTACATATAACTCTAGTTGCAAATTTCAATTTGAAAAGGATCCGCATCCGTGGCTGGGAAAACATGAGCTTTGGCAACTGGAAAAGGATCCGCATCTGTGGCTGGGAAAACATGAGCTTTGGCAACTGTTTCTGCTCCAGCTGTGACCAGGCGACTGGTTTTGAATGTACTGTTATAAAATGCTTTGATCCTGCTGGTGTGCTTTACATTTTTATATCTGTCCTGGCACTTTTGTGGGAAAGATGTAAGATCACTTGGAACAAAAGGGAAACCCTATCTAAAGTGCATTAGTTCCTGACCTCGTGTTTATGTCAGCAACAAAGTGGAAAAAATATTCTAAATTCTCCCTAACCCCAACATAAATTTACCTTGAAAGCTGGTGAGTTTAAAGCCAAGATTTTTCAAAGCGATCAGTGATTTTGTGGGCACTCAACTTGTGACACACCTGAAAATGGCCTGATTTTTAGAAGGTGGGTGGGTGGCATTATCTGAAAATCAGGCCCCTCTGAGGCATCCAAAAAGTGCCCCAAATCAGTAGCCACTTCTGAAAAACACTGGCCAAATGACCAACAGGTTTCTTTCCACTGTTTTATGTAACAGAGGTGTTTCTGATCTCTCCGTTCAGGCTTTTCCCTGCTTGCTATAAACCAAGACAGGGTCAAGTACCTGCTGATAATTTATTGATATTTCAGATTTGAGACAGATAGATTCAAATATTAACTACAGCTCTCAAGCCACATCTAGCATCCATTTCCTTGCACTGATTTTCTAGCATATGGATAATCAAAAAGGATTCCCCTGCCAGGCATGTTACATGGTACCCAAGAGCTCCAGAAGTTGTTGATCTAAAATTCTTACATAGCCCCCTCTTCGTAGCATCTGAGCACCCCACAGCCATTAATGCACTGAGACTGAAAAGCAAAGACAGACTATTGTCTCCATTTTGTAGCTGGAACTGAGGCACAGAAAGACAAAATGACTTCTCAGGATGCCTGGAGCAATCTCCAGAGTCGCGAGTTAGAGCCATAGTTAATAGATCTCTGTTTACGCCAGTGACTGTTGACTGTGGCATAGGAATTTGTCCATGCACTGAAGATGATGATGCATAAACAGCAAAGTCATTTACCCCATATCCTGCCATGGGGTGACCCATGCCTATGGGAGGACGGGGGGCAGAGTGAGGGCAGCCAGTGTCAGCAATGTTACTGAGCATAATCAGTACAAACCAAGCAGCAAACCTAAGGCAGTACATGATCCTACGTAACCCAAGACACACGTCACCCAACCTGCCCCATGCATGCATCTCCCTGCTTCAGTTGTGCCCTGGGATCTCCTCAAAGGACTGGGGAAAGATTGCTTCTCTCCTGAGGGGAGCCATTCTCGGCCTGCTATCCCAGGCTCAGAACGGGAGCAGCTCTGGCACCCTATGTACCTTGTCTCTGTGGCAGATGCAGACCCCTCAGCTCTGTCCTTGGCTTGCTGCATCTGTGGCCGATGCAGACCCCTCAGCTCTGTCCTTGGCTTGCTTCTAAATCCCTTGCATGGCCCCGCGTTGAGTCCACACAGCCCTCCCCACAGCACAGCCTGTTCCATGACTGCATGGCCCTGCGTGGAGTCCAGACAGCCCTCCCCACAGCACAGCCTGTTCCATGACTCCGTAAATGCTAATCCAGTTGGGGATACAAAGACTCAGTGA